CAAGTTTAATATCTTTATGACAAAAACACAGTGGGAAACAGATGGTGAGTTAAGTCTTTGAAAAATATATAAAAAGGGGAACGGATTAGGAACATTAAATACACCTGCTCCACTCATTTAATATTTCTGACCACTTTGTAGGAAACGTTGGAAAGAAGTTTCCATAAAGCATAAGCGGTGCAGCAATCAAGTAAGAGGAAACGTGCGCAGCAGGGAATAAACGGTTCCTATTGGCTAAAGAGGAAAGCGAGGCATGAGGATGATCAGAAGGAATGACAAATCTCAACAATAATTGTCCCATCCAGCCACTTGCGCCCCTGAAAGCATTGTTCACACCGCCCCTTTCATGTAGTCAAGAAAACAACTCCAAGGGAATTACTCACTTTGCCATTCACTCTTCTGCCTATAAATAAGACGTTCCAGCATGAAGAACATATCGAATTCCTTAAGAAGAGATCACTTAGTTTATTTTATCGTTTTTCTTTTGTATAGTTTTAGCTGTAGTTAAGTGACAACACTTCTTCTCTATTCTGTATCACCCACTTGAGACTCCTCACGAGCAACAACCATATTCTCCACTTTCTATTTTGTGTAACCTAAGTTATTTCCATTTAAATATAAGTGTTATTTCTCTCTTTTTCACTCGTTATCTCTGAATTGAATCTCGGGTCTATGGGATTTCATCCAGAATAATTATGTTTAATGTAGTAGCCATGGCTAAACTATCTGTGGAACAGAAAAACTACAAAGTTCTTAAAAACTTATTCTGGATATGAAAGGAATTGTTTGATCTTTCCTTCTTTGATGTGATTTTCAATAGCATCTCGGAGGTCCCAACAGTCGCCTGTTGTATGGCTATTTCTGTAATGAAAGGAATAATATTTAGTTTTATCATTGCCGCCCTTGTTCTTTATAGGTCGAGGTCTTTCGTTGTTACGCAACTCGATTTGGGCCACCTCTTTCTAGATCCGAGATCTGGAGACGTTCAAAGGAGCATAACTGTCAAACTTAGTTCTCGAGGAGCGTTCGTCTAACCTTTTGTGGTGAGAGTCAGATGCATTCTTTGATCATTGGCGATCTCTATCCTTGTTCTTTTTATTTGGACTTTGGCGGTTCGGGCTTCGACCTCGAGATTCGCCATAGACTCTTTGCAGGTCTTCCACATCGATGTACTTTTCTGACCTTCGTCGGAATTCTTCCAAGTCATTTACCGGGTTATTATAGATGGATCTGGCGAGTGGAGACTCGACATCAAGCCCCGAGATGATCAAATGTAGATGAATTGGTTCAGTTAAGTTTCGTGCCTTAAGGGCGACTTCCTTGAAGCGATCTAGGTATTTTCCCAGCGACTCATTCTCCCTTTGCCGAATTCATCCTAATGCGTAGGTTGGCATGGGATGTGCTTTACTAGTGGCGAAATTTAGGTGAAAAGTACGAGTGATAAACCTTTGGTTTACCATATTTTTAGGCTTAATTATGATTGATATATACCATGAATTGCCTGTTAATTAGGGTTTTATATCGAAAAGTCACAATAATTGAATATCTGGCTAACATGTTGTCATATATCTTCTCTTCAACTGTCTCAAATAGAGAACCGCGAGAAGAAGATGCCAATGAATCCCCTGCTTGGATCTTTGAAGGAATCACCGGCTTTACTAAGCTTGGCACAGATGTTCGAGAATAAGCTGTGGGACTTGCAGAATAGTTAATTCGATCAACAATAGAGTAGTTGGGATCAAGTATTCAAAAGTTTTCTTTTTTGACTGGATCAATTTCTTACAGTAAGAAAAATGAAGGTCCAGCGTAGGGTTTGTTAAGTAATCGGGTTTGGCTCAAGTTCGTATGAACTAGTCTTTCTAGGTGAAGATGGAAAGAAGTCAAGTCAGACTTTCGAAGGTTTTAGAGCCAAAGGAATGTAACCAGATGAGTTCAAACCTCAAAGAAGTAAGATTTCAAGTATGTACCAGCTGAAGGAGGACGTTTTGGCATCCAAGAAGCACATTTAAACGCTCAAAATGAAGAAAACCACATAACTCCCTGGAAGATAGTGTTTTGGCGGCCAAACAGCACGCCAAAACGCTCCTGAAGCAACCAAAATCCTTCGAAGAGGATGTTTTGGCGCTCAGAAGCACGCCAAAACGCTTGGAGGCAGACAAGAATACACTATGAGAACGTTTTCGCGCACAAAAAGCACGCTAAAATGGCCACACACGAACAGCAAGCCCCAAAGATTTGATTAAGATTTGCCAAAAGATACATATTGCGATATCTGGGATTAAAGTGGAAACATCTCTATTAATTGAGAGAAATCATGGGAAGATACGATGGAAGATCACAACGAAGATTCGCAGCTCAAATTTGTCAACTAATCTCCAAGATATTAAATACAAAAAGGAAGCAATGATGAAATCAATCACAAATCTGATATGGATACGTTGGAAGATTTAATGACAGATACAACTCCAAGTGGTTATAAATAAGGAGCTTGGGGTCAAGACCAACACACCAATTCACATATTCATCCAGACACCAAGACCTGAAGGAGGAATTCTGTCGCGGAGCGCTGGAACACTGAGGAACCAAGTCAACATCACACCAATGGAGGCTTGTGGTTCTTTTTTCTTTATTATTGTTTTTCAATTCAGTATGCTAGAGTAATCTTTTATGTAGTTAAGGGTAGATGGAACCCAGTTGAATCTTTATGTTTATGAATTAAATTGTCTCTGAATCCTATTCTTTTTATAATTGAATAAATTATCTGTTTTTAATGCTTTCTATGAGTTTATTCCTTATAGAATGATTTTGGGGAATTGTATGACAATAGGGATGTTGGTGCATGAACCCTGACTTGATAATTTATCATAATCCTTGTGATCTAGGGATAGACATAGGGTAATTATGCAATCTTGAAATTCTTGATCTTAATGCATGTTTTCTTAGGGAATAATCGGGGAACTAGAGTTCTTTCAAGATTACATAGATTTATGGTAACAAGGAATTGAGCCGTAATTAACTTAGATAGAATTGATTGGCAATATATTAAGAAACAGATTCTTGACTGTTTAACTCATAATGTATTGAGGATATTGAGGAAAGTCGAAACCTTAACTACGCTTGTTTTAAGTTCTTAATCAAACATCATCTTCATTCATTCTTTAAATTCTGAATTTTCTTGATCGCATGCTTTTACTTGTTTTAAATTTAAGTTCTTTGAACAAACATTCTTTCAAACCCAACTTTTGATTGTCCAACTAAAACGCGATTAGCGAACTAGTGCTTGAAGATTCTGATCTTCGTGGGAATGATCTCGTACTCCGGTACACTTTATTACTTTACGACCGGTGCACTTGCCGAGTCACAACAACGAGCCAGGTCCTCAAATGAATCAATTGAGTTCCTGGGCAGCCTGGTAATCCACGCCATCGCCTGACCTGTTAAGGTCGTCGCAAAGATTCTGGCTTTGATTGGTCCAGTTATCCCATTGAAGAGCATTTTAGTTTTGAAAGCCTCCAAATGGGCGTCAGGATCCTGACTTCCGACATAAGGGGGGTTTTTGGCGCTTTTGAATTTCAGCGAAATTGCCAAGTTCATAAGCCTCTCAGTGAACGGACTATCGTTGGCATCTTCATCATGGAGATAATTATCTCCTTGTTTGTTTCCTTGACCTCCGCTTTCATGTTGGTTTTCATTTTCAGTACCTCGGCCATGATCAGTTGCCGGGTTTCGTCGTTCCCGCCCTTCTGTTTCAACCCGACCTTCTCTTGTAGCTCGGCCTTCAGTGTTCTGATTTCGCCGCTCGACTTCTAGTGCTTCCATTCTTTGAGCACTAGTCGTTGTTGAGCTAGGAACCTGTTCTTCATCTTTTGCATCCTTTGAAGGATTGCATTCAGGGCGGTGTTAGCTATATGACCGTCAGCTCCGGGTTATTCATTCAGTTGTGGCTGACGTGTTGATTCCGTCGCGGTGTTGCTTCGGGTCGTGATAGGCAATGACTCAGTGCCGACCTCTCCGACCTGTATCTCCACCAAAACCGTATTTTCGAGGTCTTGGAGACGCTCAATGGCATACTGATGCAGTGGTTGGGGTTGAGCATTGTAGGATGTCGCACGAGTGTTTGTCAACGTGGAATGGGAATTGAATTTTATCGCTCCCCACAGATGGCGCCAATGTTCGGTCCTAGAGAACCGTAGATTACTCCTGTAGGGTATGCGCTTAGAGATATCCTAAAAATAGGTATCTTGGTTGGCTGATAGTCAATATCTCAATCACTGTGTACAAGCAAAAGGCTTATAGCCGAGGCATGAGTGTGTGCACAGTGTGGGCAGAAGTAGTAAATGAGTTCAGAATGTGTACCTGGGGGTCTTAAGCCTTGTATTTATAGGATTTACCTCTTGGGCTGTGTAAATCTTTCAGTTGGTGTAGGATTCAACTCCTTTTATGTAGGGATAGTGGTTCTATCCTCATTATCTTTATTGTTTCATGTTGTTAGGATAATAGAGTCATTATCCTTTAAAGAATTCTTGAATATGTAGTTAATATATGGATATATTCCATAACATAACTCTTGTGAGTTAATTATATGCAATCAGAAGTATTCAATGCATTTTATACGGATTTATGCATTTTTTATTACAAAATTCAAATAACACAGCAATAGATTTATTCAATGCAGCACCACACAAACATATCACTGTAGTTGGGAATGGATCTTCTCCTATGTAATTTAACATGATCATTTGAGAAGATATTAATCATTCATAGACAAATCAATAGTAATGAAATGATCATATATTAATCATTCATAGACAAATCAATAGTAATGAGACACTAGGGGAAGAAAAACTATTAAGATAGAGAGTGACAAAAAGATAATAGTTAATTTGTCTATATATAAATGATCAAGATCCTGTTACTCAACAATAATGTAAAAAATCACGCAGAAAATTTATTTCCATTATAATTATACAGTCTGTCGGTTCACATAGTGAGCGAATTAATTAGCTAGCGGGGTTAATGGCAAACAAAGTTTGGATGAAAGTGAGAAGAAGAGCAAAAACAGCAGCAAGGAAGGCAATGAATGCCCAAGGGTTACTGAAATAAGTATGATAACCAAGAGCTATCCATGTCTTGCATTTGTTCCTATAGTGTTTCTCAATTTGAGGTCTAATATGAGCGTACTTATCCATGTCAGGGACCAAGTCAGTGCCTATGGTATTGAAAAGCTTTGACACTTCTTCATCGCTCCCAAGAGCATTGAGCAAAATCCCTGCTGATCTAAGCTCCTTCACATCATCAGGGTGGTCTATAAGTGAGTCCATGAATGCCACAAAGGAGCATATTTCATAGTTGTTCTCAAAATCTGGACACATTTCATATGCTATCAAATTGAGAAACGTAGGAGCTGTTGTGTCGTCGACGATGATCACTGGAAGCTTCAATTCAGCACATAACCATCCACAAGAGAATTTGATGTCTCTTAGCCTTCGTGATTTGCTGCTGTTTAGTCTAATCCCTGCTGCTCTCAGCTCCTTTATGTTTCTGTATGTTATCATGCCGTTGTCTTCATTCTTGTTGTTGCCTTTATTGTTTCTCATACCTTTCTGCTTGCGATCCTGGTTTTTGGCTTCCTTAGCAGGAGGATCATGAAGGATAGCTCTGCGAAGCTGATCAAGAAGATGAATGGGTGACTCCTTGTGGGGTTGCTGAGTCTCTTCTTCGGTTAGAGTAATGCTTGTGTACTCTTCTTCACTGCATAAAAAATATAACATGTTTACCACCATTAGCATGGATCAATTGATATAGGTTGCTCCAGCTGACCAGTGGTTTCGCTCATTTGATACACAGAGTTATACCCTTACAATGCTGTTTGACTCGAATTCGGATTGGTCTCTGTTATGAACTCGTATAATGGGCCCATTAAGTTTCAAGCCCAACAAGGGGCAATTCAAGATATGGATTGATGCTAATCAATCCATACTTATCTTAATGTGACAGCATAGCTATCAAGGCTGGATCCTCATCGTAGCAACCAAAAGCCCGTCCACACTACCTACAGGTAATCTCTATAAATACAAGGGCAAACCCTAAAGGTACACACATTCTCTCTCTTATTGTTATGCTGTCACTGTGCACACACACACCCCATTGGCTAATGCCGTTATAGTATTCAGTGCACAGTGATCTCTTTAACTCAAGGGTATCTCCCTCGTAGATACCTTGGAGAGGACATCAGATCCAATATTAATGTACTAGCCTAGCTGGGCTAGACATCTCTGTCTCAAGGGCAGAACAGTCTCTCTATATATATATATATATAAGTTTATAGCATACTTATACCTCCACCTCACATTCGTTAGTGGGATTTTTTATAAGGAGGAGTGATTTTTTATTAGGGGAGAACGGAAGTAGTGGTAAAGCTGTTCTTTCATGACTGAAAGGTCATGGGTTCAAATCCAGAAAACAACCTCTTTGCAATGCAAAGGTAACGCTGCGTACAAAGATTGTCTCTACCTCACACCCGCTAGTCGGGTTTAACGGGAAGTGGTTTTATATAAAATTTAAAGGTAGCCTTGGAACAACATTAGTATTGCCATGTGAGGAAATCATATATATGATTCATGCGAGGAGGTCACATATCTAGTTGACATAATTAGTTTCATGCAAATGAAGGTCAGATTACCTATTATAGATAACTTTATAACTGACATGCTGCCCATTTATATAATAAAATTTAAATCAAATCTCAACAATTGAGAGAATATTGCTCTGATTATACCTGTCTTGATCCTTATCCACGTCCCATTTTTCAGCACTTTGATGGGGTCTAACAGGCGATAAATGATGACACTGAAGAAACTTATTCATGATTTTCAACAGATTTGCATCATTCTCACGGACTGATAAAAGTTTCAGCACTTGATAAGGAAGCTGGTTCTCCAACAAGAGCACATCTTGCCGCACAAGAGCAAGTTGATCAAGCTTGACATTCATTTTTTTTGAATTATCAAGGTTCCCTTCATCCAATATTTGTAGCAGAGAACATCCATCCACAAATAGCATCCACGATAGCTTTTCATTATCATGGAACCCTTCGATAACATCCTTAGCAAAAAGATCCTTCAGTTGCTCAATTTTTTCTGCAATTTTTTGGTATAGAGTTTGTGGATTTTGTTCGTTGCGTTTGAGGTACATTGATGCCCACATAAGCTTGTATTGTTCTCCGAGATTAAGATTCTTTTCTCCATGATGGATGGGACCAATGGACACTAACTTGGGCGAGTAATGCATGGTAAAATGTTTTCGATCTCTGAGATAATGTGTTACCCTTTGAATCTTGGGGTGTGGATTATGTGGTGTTTGCATTGCTTCTTCTAGTTGTGTAAACTTCATGGTGAGTTGTGGGTTAACAATCATGGTGCAACAATGCTATTGAAGAATTGGTGGGTGTTTAGATGACTTAATACTTGAGATATGGAATACAATAATCACTTAGCTCGTACTTTAAGTTTGAATTATAAATTCAGAATTTCAAGAATATAGCAATTGCCTTATATGAATTATGAATGCTAGGGAGTCCAGAATTCAGAGTTAAAAATAAATAAATTATTAATTATTAATAGAAAGACACTTTCACGCTAAGTTGAACATTCTTTATTTAAGGAGTACTGGATAAATTAAAATAAGAAATTCAGAAATACAAGAATATAGCATTTAGCTTTGCTTAAGTTTGAAGTTTGGAATGAGTACAGAGTCTGGATTTGCAGTAAAAAAAAGCACTAAGATATAATAAAATATAAAGATTGATAAAGACATCAGTAAACAATTTTAAATAAGGAATATTGAATCCCCTTTGCTTCGCAAATGCTTCAAGTCTGTATAGATTCAAGGTGAAAAAGCACTTCAGTAAAGAATTTTAGAATAGTGTGTTTAAAGTTAAAAGGGAAAATATTGTTTTTATGATAGAACTTTTTTTAGAATTTTTCCGTCAAAATCTACTATTTTTAATTTTTAAAATAATACACAAAAATAGTTTTTTTTTTGTTTTTCCCTTTTTATAAAAATTATGTAATTATTATAAAAAAATAATTAAAAAACATTTAGTTTCTTTAAAAAACACACACACACACACACAAAAACAACCAGGCCCGTAGATAGGGAATATTGTAGAATCATTTTTTTTTAACGAAGTAGAATCATTTATCGCTTTGCTGGTATATTTCAGGTTTAGAACTTAATTAACATGCTAATCAATGAATATTTCTCTTATTGTTTGTGAGTTTATGCTCAATGAAATTGCAGTCACAGCTTTCAAAACGTACATTAGACATGAGAGGAGGAGAGGATGCACTCCGTATTATAATAGCTCAACTATTCAATAAATCTAGCCGAACCAATTTTTATTTTTATTTTGAGAAAAAAAATAACATAATTTTGTTACATTTTATCTCGTGCATAAGATAAAGAAGTTTTAGATTTGTGTGAATTAAGTCGCACATTTATGCTCGTTTGAAGTTTGTTGAATGATTTACCAAAAAAAAAACAAAAAAACAAAAAACAAAAAAAGAAGTCTGTTGAATGGTTATGAACACTCAGAGAAATGTAATTGCCGTTTTCCTTTAGACTTTTTACCCTAAAAAGAGTAAGATTACGACTATAGTGGTTTAAATAGGTAAGGTCGCATTAGATTCTGATCTAAATAAGTCAACTCTATGCAAAATATTTTTAATCTGCAGTCGCCTATTAGTCTAATGATGTATTATAGGTTTGACTTGACCTATATTCAAAAATTAAAAAGTCTAGCCTAGGCTTATTAGCCTATTAAGCCTTCAATAATTATTAAAATTAGAAAATAAAATAAAATAATTTTTATTAATTAAAGTTATTTAAATAATTTTTTTTTTGATTTAATTAAAATAAATAATACGATATAGACTTTCTTGTAGACTTGTAGGCCAAGCTTTGTAAAAGTAGATCTATAACCAATTTTCTAAACAAGGTTTTTTTAAGGCCCAAGTTTGTTCTATTTATAAAATATACTAGGTCAGGTTGGCCTGACGTAGACTGGATCATAGTTCTCTAATAGGGCACCCACTCTCTTTACATCTCTAATGACAAGTTAAAAGATTTTTAGAAACAAGCATTTTGGGTAGGGAAGATTCTGGTTTTGGGTTATGGCTACTCTTTCAATCGGTGAGTGGATATTGACATGATAAAACCTTTTAAGTTTTTTTTAGGTTTTGGCTAGCTTTCCAATTAGTAAAGGATATTTTAGATAATGACACTAGTTTATAAGAAGGGAATATTGTTTCTCATGTTGCAGGAGATAATTTATCTCATGCAACACAAAAAAAAAAGGTGGAACCCACTCAGGAGAAGAGATAAAAAGAAAATAAATGGGTTCTACCCACTTTTTTGTGTTATGCAACATGAGAAACAATATTCCCTTATAAGAAATACAAGAATCACAATTATAAATTTAGAAATACAAAAATATAGCAATTACCTTAATACTAGCTAGCAGTCTAGAATTCAAAGGAAATAATAATAATATGGAAAAAAAAGTTTGTTATTTTAAGTGAAACGACTATGTTTTGATGCATATTTGGTGGTGTTATGGGTATGGTATAAAGACCTACATTCTGGAAGGTCCAAGAAAGGGAGAAACTAAGAAGAAATTAAGGGAAATTAAGGAAAGATTTTCTAATTAATACTAATCATAGTGCGACAGGATCAAGCATTGGACACCCAAAATTCCATCGGAGGTTCAAAATTTTACTACCTACAAGTAAACTCTATAAATAAAAGGTAAAGCTATAGGTATGGGACTTACTCTCTATTTTGTTGTCACTGTGCACACACACCACGCTTTGACTACCCTGTTACTTTATCAAGCACAGTGATCTACTTACTTTCAAAGATATCTTCCCCATAGATACCCGAGAGAGCCCATAGATCCAAGATGAACTCAATAGTCTTTGACTAGACATTTGTATCCCCAAGATAGAGTATTGGCATCGTTTGTGAGAAAAGATAAACTTCTACCCCTACAACCAACATGGTGAACACAAGGAGCAACATCCACCAATAGCCACCATTGCCACCACCACTAGACAGATCAACCGCTCAACGGGCCTGGGCCAAAAAAAGACCCACCCTCAACCTCAAGGTTGTCCACGTCAATGATGACGTGTCAACTCGGCATCCACTCTGGCTCAGAACCCGGCACCTCAGGTCGAACCTGCCCAACTGACCCCAATACCAGATGTAGATAACCGCATAGCATAGACTGCTCTCCACGCTATTTTGCAGCGAATGGAGGAGATGGAGAACCGATACCAGATTCTGACTCGAATGGACGCCTAGTGAATTAGGGACTGGAAAAACCACAGGCAAGATCAAAGAAGATTTTTACTAAATGGAAGAAATTATAACGTTTCTCTAAATACAAGGAGAGAACAATATCACTTTCTCTTATATTAGGAGAATACACTTCACTCAAGAGACACTTGGTGTTTTTCTCTCTAAGTTTTGGGATGCTTAGAAGAACATATTTTTTCTTGAACTTGGGATGCTAACAATGGAGGACAAAGCCTATATTTATAGGCTGAAGTTTACTCGTAATTTTATGCATTTCCGAAATCTTTCTACATACACACCCCTTTTTGCACAACATCTTGTGCAAATTCTTCAAATAAATAGTACATTTGTTGTTTTCTTTGAATTCAACCACCGAAGTGACTTTTTGTCTTATCATGTTGATGGAAGGAAACAACTACAACATAGCAGATATATATAGATTATTCATAACCAACTCTAGTACATTAGTTTAGGCTTGAGGCTTTCAGTCAGCATACAGATACATATCAGGTTCCTTGTGGAAAATGATGTAAATTACCCAATTAAGAATAATCGTCATCTTCCTCTTCACCTTCTTCTTCTTCCTCTCTAGGTGGGCCCAATTTTTACATTCAAGCTTTCCATTTCGACGAGACTTTCTTTGAGATGATTGGTACTTAACATCAATAACCACATAGTCATGGCGTATAATATTAGACAAAGATTGGACCTAAGTCCAAAGGCCCAACTTTAAGGGGGCGTTTGGTTCAGGAAATTTTTTTGGAATAGTAGGGAAATGAGATAGATAGAGAAATGATTGGAAATATAGATAAAGTGAGATAGGTAGAAAAATGTAAAAAAAAAGTTGTTTGGTGGGAAAAAACTTTACTGGGAAAATTAGGTAACTTTATGAAATCAACAGTGCATTAAAAGCCAGATAACCGGTTTTCCGAAAAATCCCACCTTCAAATTGGGTTTCTAAACAGTGCGGATATCTATGTTTCTCATAAATCCAGAAAAATTGGATAGATGGGTTTTTGGTGAAAAACGTTGAAACAAACATGGTGTTTCTAAAAGCCATACTTGAGAAAGATAGATATCCGCTGAAAAGCTCCCAACCAAACACCACCTAAAGACTTTACTATAAAGAAAGAACATTCAAGAACATATCTCAGTCAACAATGGTTGTTGATACTCTCATGCTCCTCAGCAAACTCATCTCAAGCCACATATCCAAGAACCAATAAGGAGATTGCTGCTTCACCACTTGCAGGAAACAATCAGGGCATCCCCCAAAGCTAGTCATCCATTCATTATAAATACTAGTGCTCTAAACATAAGGTAAACATCTTCTCCTAAATTTTGAAACCTGCTTACACAAAATCTAACTTAAGCATCAAAGTGTCTTGCATGTACACTCACTTCTTTGTTCCATTGAAGACTCATGAGTAAAGGTGCATCAAATCACCAGTAAAGGGAGCCTCATTAAATCATGGTCAGCCCAGGTAATCTCGGACTAAATAGTGTATACTCTGATTGAATATAACATTTGTATATTTATATAGTATGCCCCTTCACACAAAAGCTCATTGAACTGAAAGGGTGGACAATACACAGACTCTACCTACACGTGCTGAGAAACTTCATAATATTTACTTATTTATTAATAAAATAAAGGCGACGAGAATCGAACGATACCTACCTAAGCTAATAAACTCTATAATATTTAATTATTTATTATAGAATGAGAACAGTGAGAATTAAACTTGTAACACTTGATCACATAGACTCTAATATCATATAAAAAAATTATTTTAATACAAAAGTTTAAACTGTTAAATGAAGGCCATAATAATAGATTCATATAGTAGGAACATTTTTTAATGAGATGCAAAGAGTATTTTGAACTATCTACTTTTTTGGAAAATTTTGTTTTCACAGATTGTTTATTTTCGCTCTGTGGCTATCTATGTGCTCGGTGACTGCAAGTTGAAAATTTGTCGCATTTGCACCGCTATTGTGGAAGGCAATTAGTTAAAGCCACTGCACACAAAAATCTTTTTCGTATGTTGAACCGT